ATGGGCTAACTGGCCTGTTTTCATTCTCATTGATCACCCTTCACTGGTGCCCCGCCAGCGTATCCCATTAGCGCAGGCGAGGTTACCATTCCATTTTCATCCAATAAAAAAAAACATAGGCCTCCCCCATAGACAGTCCAAAGAAATAGGAGCGTTCATTATGGCAGTTTGCCATTGGAGGATTTTGCCACTAGTTGCCATGCTTCGTACACGAATTGGCAACGACAGTTACACTGTGATGATGTTTTAAAAGGGACATTGTTGCCTATCCCTCGACCATTAAACTTATTTATATAGATAGATAGATACTCTTGTATCCTCCAAAAGATTACAGTTGTAAACTTATTACAAATATAAACAATTACAAGAAATAATCACAATGAGAAAACAATGGATGACCTTATCGCTAAAAGCGATCTCTTTTAGGGAACCTTTGGATGGAGAGGAGTAATTATAAACAGTTTGATCGGAGGCACGATGAAATTCTATTATTTCTTAATATGTACTTCTCGATATGGTACACTCCTTTAGTCGCTTTTTACGATATTCACGGGAAAGGAAAGGGTAGCCCATTGTATGCCGGGGTCCATTATATTACATTAGATACAAAGATCAAACTGCAGGGTGAACATTCTAAACGTACACGAATGCGTATCACTATCCCTGAATAAATAGTGAGCACTATACATATCATTCCACTCACAACTTCGCCCTTGGCCTAAAAAGCTCGCATTTCTCATCGACCAGCCCATAATAACTGCCGACGCACTGCATGTCTAGAAATGATGGTTTAGGCTGTATTGGCATCTACGTCATGGTCAAACAAACATTCTATTCTAAGACTCGATATCATACGATATCGAGTCTTTTTATTTTTATTCATTTCATGACGTTTAATAGTTTAATAATGTAATTCTATTTTAATCTTTTTTTTTTAACACGAAGCATGTCGTGGTTGCCTCTTAATATAAGAACAGTAGCCGTAATCCACTAGTGTATTGTAAGTAAGCGACTTCAAAAATGAAGTTCTCTTTTTTTAACGTTTTTTTTTATATCCGCTAAATCTGAAGTTCTTCACCACCGACTTCAAAAAGAAGGTGGCTCTTAATTCGGTTGTATTTTTTTGTTACCTCATAATTCCATCAGTTCTAAACGGATTTGGAATTTTTTTTATCTGAAAGGATGTACTTACAGATTGGTCCTATAGAAATTTTATCAAAATTTTTTTAATTGTTTAATATTTAGGCCAAAGTAATTGGTTTTGTCATTACTTGAAATCGATTATTTTTTTGTGGAATACAATTTTTTATTACTATTTAAAATTGTGCAAACCAATTGCGTCTACAAAATAAACAATATTCACTGGCGCCTTAATTTTATGAACATACGAAAAACTTGTGCGATAAAATTTAGTACGTATTCGTTTTCCCTTCGGAATAGATAAAGATCAAATCATTTACAGATACATATCTATTACTTTGTCGTGTACCCAATTATAATTCCTCCTTGGTAACATTCCTACAAACTTTTTTACCCTATTTAATTTCTTTAAGGTACAAATTTTTCAAGAAATCTATCTTGGTATTTAACTTCCAGAGATTCATCATCATCCTACCCTTATCCCAATTATTATTTGGGTATTAAATATGTTTTCCTCTTCCATTCTTTTCTACTCCCAGTCATTTCCGCATTCACTCCCATTCTGGCCATATCGTCTTTCACACAGTCCATCCATGTCTTTTTAGGTCTTCCTCTGCTCTTATAGCCGTCTACTTTCATTCTTAATACTTTTTTTAAAATATGCTCCTCATTCCTGCGCATCACGTGCCCGTACCAGGATAAACGGTTACTTCTTAACTTTTCTATCAGATATCTAACTCAACTTCAAGAGATTACTATTAAAAATTTTATTTTATTTATCGATTTAGGCTGTGCGTTATTCATTTAACATTGTTAAGACTTTATCTACTTTTATTTAATGTCATTTTCACAATTTAATATTTTTTAAAATGTTTATAACTTAGTAACACATAAAAAAAAATTATACAACTTAAAATGGAGTCATCAGCTTTTTTAACTGATGAAAAGTGATAATCGTCGTTTACAAAAATGACCAGCAATCACGGATATAACAGAGTATAATAATAATGTATAATATAAACTAATATAATATAATGTAAAAAGAAATTGTTTGTAATGGTAATTATTATTACCAACTCAAAAACTATTCGACCCATTTAAATAATTCTTTCACCTATAGAAAGCTACCTTATTCTCAGACTATTACATTAAAAAAAAAATAAAGATCTTCCACCTACTTATGTACTAACTTATTTATCTACTAATACTTTAGTAACTTGTATAAGTAATTAATACTTGTTAATAACATTGTTCAGATTACAGTAATGTACTTTCAGGAAAACCTATTATTGAGTTTGCAATTTATGTAACATTTCAGTAACTCCAGAGTTATACTGTAAATACTGTTGTTTACCAGCATAAAATAAGGATAAAAAAGTAACATCAAACGAAGAAGAACAATGAAATGAGTTCCACCTTTAATTTGTTCCAGCAATCCAACTTCACGCTAAAGTAAAACGCCCTTTGACATTATCCAAATGATACTCAAAATGTCAGAGGCAAAGTACAAGCGAACGACAGTTATATTGTTTGCTTTACTAAATATTAATGTAATAATTACACACTTCTATAAAAGATTAACATAGTAATATAAAATTAGTTATTTGAAATTAGTAATTTATAAAATTTGCCAACCCGCCTGCCAAACGTGGCAACTACTGGCAAAAGACTCCAATAGGAGAAGGCCTATAGTCAGCAGTGGATAGTTAGCGGCTGATATGATGGAATTATAATACTAGTTTATAACCTCAACTTAGTTCGCGTGACCGGGATATATATTCTTTTCCATTCTAAATTTCATGACAACTGATTGAGCCCTTAAGGCACCAAGACTTTCCCGTGCTTTGATATCAATGATGCTGCCATGAACTACCCATTACCTCGCGCAGTAGATGGAAGGACATACATGGCCAACTATTATCATTCTAGATCGAGAAAGCTCGGCTAGTTTCAGGATCAATCCGTGATTCTTAACCATGCGCGCCTCGGCCCTCTGACCGTAAGCTGTAGGCCTTACTCTAGATACTGGTTTGATAGATGCATTCTCGTTTTAGTGTAATTTCCCAATGGGATTGCGATCCAATTCCTAATTCCTAATTATCAAGAGAGCAATACAATATTGTCATTTGATATCGGTATTTAAATTAGATTCAAGGGTAAACCTGAATTCAAGGGTAATAAATACATTGTATTTTTACGTCGTCATCGCACATATATATTTTTTTGTACAACTTAGATTGGCAAACAAACTGACGGCCATCAGGTAGATGGAAAGTGGTAACCGTCGCCTATAGACATGAGCAGTACCATGGACATAACAGAGTATACTGTTTCGTCCATGATACCCCCATGCGTTGTCACTCCTGAGGACTCCGGTGTTATTACTCCGTATCCTGTAAATTCACTGCCATATTAGCAGTTAGGCTTTAAAGATGTTTTCAGAGGGACGCTGCTGCCCATTCCTCGCTCTCCTTTAGTCACCTCTTGCAACACCCATAAAAGGAAGGTATTATCGGTATTGACCGAATATAACCGAATAATTCGTAATACTAGCCGGTAACAAGCGGATCGGCTTACGGAATTGCGCCTCATATGTTCACGTGTAAGGCTTCCGTTATTGATTGCAAAGGTGAAACGCCGGGATGATTCATGATAAAACAATATATCACGTTTGTCTCCCGATGGAGGTATTTATGATATATTGTATCACAACGCGGCACGGCTCAATTTCATCACGACATAACAGGATAACAAAATGTGTCAAATATTTTAGATCATATAGTGTCGAGTAAATCCAAAAAAAGGGTTAACGAACTGGTGGGTGACGTAGCGTCTTTTCATACTGAATTCATTCATTAATTTATTTTAGCCATTATCCGTCCAGTGCTGGACATAGGCCTCCCCCATAGACTGACATAAATAACGGTCCTGAGCCACCTGCATCCACTGACTCCCTGCAATGCATTTAGGGTCGTCACTCAAGAACCTTTTTTCCCCATCGGTTAATACTAAATATTGAGATAAAATTATTAATCTCTATTAAAACGTAATGTACAATTAGTTATTATATGTAGTCGAATTCACATTATATAGACGTCAATTTAACGTTCAATCTCAATAACATTATATTCAAAGTTACCCCGATAGAAATACACAGGTTAACTGCCAATATTGCTTAACCATTAAACACGGACATAATTTTACAGAAAACATCGTATTATTATTAAGAGACGGGCTTTTTCAAGCAGAAAAACCTGTGACACTGCGACCTTTCCATGATCTTTTGTGCTCGCCTTTTTTTTAAAGTTCGCTACTAATTCCAATCAGTGATAGAAATTTGAAGATGCTTTTTGTAGCAATGTTTTTTATTTATTTACTAGCTAACTCGGCAAAAGTTGTTTTACCATATACATTTCTTCGAGAACTTTACATGAAAAATTATCGTACTACAATTATTACATTCTCTATATCTATTGCGGCATATAAAAATCGCGATTAAAAAACAGGGGTTGATCGTAAAAGCGTGAAAATTTGAAATTGTATGTATTTTTCAATGCTCGATCATAATAAAATGAAAATAAAAAAAATGTCAAAAAATTAAAAAAAAATTTAGGGGTGGGTCACCCTTATTATTGAGGGGTATAAAAAATAGATGTTGGCTGCCTCTCAGACCTACCCGATATGAAAAGAAGGGATGGTCCATTCTATACCAGAACTTACACGGCTATTTAACAATCGATTATTAATAATTTTTGCATTTACTAAGTATTCTACCATTTTTCCATTACTACCATTCTACCATTTTCTTCTGATAGAAGCCAATAAAGCGTATCTATTTATCAATCATGTCTTGTCCACAGATACGACAGATTGCTTCGTCGCGCCCGGACGGAGGATCTCAGCGAAGTTTCAGGCATTGGGTGCCTGTACCAGAGCGGGGTGGACCGGCTCGGCCGGCCGGTGGTCGTGTTCATCGGGAAGTGGTTCCCTATCGGAGATATCGACTTAGACAAGGTGAGGCATAGAAAAGTAAATAATATTAACACAAGTAAACAAGGTCCTTGATAAGTATAAGCAGAGGGGAAACATGAAAAAAATGAGATTTATATATAGACTAATAAATTTGATTTACTTCACACTATTGCCTATTGTCTAAATAAAAACTTTTTTTTTTTATACAACTTAGAATAGCAAACAAGCTGACGGCCCACCTGATGGAACTTTAATTAATTTGATTTACCTACATCTGAAATCTACGCGTACGTAATAGCTGCCAAAAAACACTAATTTTAAATAAAAAATCTATACGTCTTCATCCATACAGTGATATAAATAAATGCCCTAATAATGAGTATTTAGACGACAAATTGTCGCGTAAAAAATCTGCTGTGTCAACATTATTAGTACAACAAGTTCACACTATTGTTAACCGTGACTCTATACGCATGTATACAGTATAAATTATACAACCTTATGTGTTTGCGAATAAAGTCTAGAATATTATAATTACTGGTTGGCTTTTATGGAAGGCCGTACACATTTATTTTACAATATCATGAAAGGAAAATGCGTAGAATTAAATGCATAATTTATATAGATACGGAAATGTATATTGTAATGCACGAAAACAGATGCAAATAGGGTTTCCAATAAAAGATTCAGATGTACGACACAAATTTCAAATAGATATTGTATACATAGACACTATAATAAAGATTGTGTGTATTTTTTTTACCAAATATAAACCGATTTTGATTATTCCTTTTGCAATGGATAAACTTTACTCACCCTTTTGTAATCGCTTTAATAAGATTGCCATCATTGAAGTCGCTATTGTCCACAGAATAAAAACCTATTGCGGTAAATCCTACTAACATTTATAACGCTCTTATATATACTACGTCAATTGTCTTCTAAACTTATTTCAGCTATTGGCCTGTTTTGTCTCATTCTTTTGTCCTACATTCCCTTTTGAAAGAGAGAGAGACAAAACAGTTCAATAGCTGAAATAAATTTGTAGTAGTAGGTTTTAACTTTTATTAGTAAGAGGGTAAAAGTGAAAGTTTGAAATTATAGTCATGCATAAATAGTTAAAGACATTTAAATGAAATTTACTACACCAGTAGGTTATATCTTAACACATAGAATATTTTATATTACTATAGATATTCTCTGTGTAATAGAATACGGAAAACACTTAATTATTAAAAGATTGAAACATTTAATCGAGTCTATCATCATCGAGTCATTGTAATATGTGGGTGTGAATCCTATCAGGTCGAGTTGACGGAAGGTCAATTTTTCAATCTATTAATAATTCTAACCATTTTTTTTTATTCACTTCCTCTCATACAAAAGTAAACTAGAACAACTAATTAGAGAAACAATTTGCTACACTTTCAGGCGCTGTTGTATCTAATCAAGCTGCTGGACCCCATAGTGCGCGGGGACTACGTGATCGCGTACTTCCATACGCTCGCCTCGTCCGCCAACCATCCGCCCTTCTCCTGGCTCAAAGAGGTCTACACCGTGCTGCCTTACAAGTGAGCATGTCTTCACACCTACAATTGTGTAAATAACCAGGCCCTCTAGACAAGTGAGAAGCGAATTCGTCTATGGAATCGACATCGCTAGCGAGTCCATAAGATTTTTTTTAATGGGTGATAATGTAAATGGGAACCCCGCCTGCGCTATCGGTATACGCTGGCGGAGCACCAGTGAGTGATGATAGGTGTGGATGAAAAGACGGGTCAGTTAACCCATCGTGATGAATTCATCATGAATTAACCATGATAGTTTCCAGAGGGAGAACCGCGTGGAAGTCGACCTGATAGGGTATATTGCTAGCAATAGGATTCTCAGTCTCCATTACTAACACTCCCTTTCCCCCGAGTCTGTAAGTTGGAATGAGTCACCCGGCGTTGCTATCTCATTCTATCTCACGGACTCGCTACCGATGTCGATTCCATCGACGAATTTGCTTGTCACTTGTCTAGAGGCCCAGATCAGATATTTTAAATACACTATCAAGACTTAATGCGATAAAAAATTGACATTTCGACGTGGATTGCACGACGTTGGCAATAAAGAAGCAGCTATTTAGGTACTGTTTACCTAGAGAGTTAGTCCCGATAGTGTATTTATGTTAAGTTTAAAATTCACCAGCATAGAGCCGGCATAGGTGCTGTTTTTTAATTTGGGGTTTGGCATGGATCCAAATCCTTTAGCCATTGCATATTTTGGATTATAAAAACTTTTTATTTCACGCTTGTATAATATACATATGTATAAATACTATCGCACTATTAGTCACTTCTTAAAAAGAATCCTTTATAACTTATCACAAGAAAGTAAATCTTCTGTACGGCGATTTAAACCATTATCTTCAGAGGTTTTTTTTTATACTACTTAGAATGGCAAACAAGCTGACGGCCACCTGATGAAAAGTGGTAACCGTCGCCTATAGACATGAGCAGTACCATGGACATAACAGAGTATACTGTTTCGCCCATGATACCTCCCATGCGTTGCCATTCCTACTATCTACTTGTGATAAAGTTTATGTCAATAAGAGTTATTTGCTATTTCCTTGTTTGAAACTATAGTATCATGCTAATTGATAAATCTGTAATTTTTTAGCTTCGTATTAAACGGCTGCATCCAAAAATTTACAATCGTCATTCTAATTCTAGTGCATTAAATTAAATTTCTCTAAGTAGTCCTCAGAAACGCAACAGATGAAGGGTGTCATAGTATATACTGCGACGTCTTGGGTGTATATGTATCATGTCCATAATCGGCGGTCGACTTGTCTGTCACGCAGTATAAAAATGTACATTTAACTTTGTATTGCTGACAAGCGTCTGCATTGCAATGAATGGGGTCACGGGTTCCATTCTCAGTCAGACCAATTAAATGCACGAATTCCATAGCATGCAATCATTGCATCCTTAAATCAATAGCGTAAGGTTCAATTTGTATCGACCTTAAAAACTAGGGCGGGGTCTAAGAATGCATTTGTAGAGTTAACATAAAATTCTGAAGAGTATAAAAACTGTTGAATTTAAATTTCTTTCTGTTACAATACTTTTTATGTATATTTTTAACTGACTGTAAACTGCGCTTTATCGCATTTATATCAAATATAAACCATTTAGTATTTGCCTCAAATATATTAATAAATTTGTTTTATTGTATTACAGGTATAAGAAGAACTTGAAAGCGTTCTATATTGTACATCCCACGTTTTGGACAAAAGTAAGTAATTATTTGAAGCCAGTATTTTTATCATGGGTGTTGTGCCAAAAACATAAAAATATCAAACGACAATTAAACAATTGAAGTGAAATATAGTAGCATCAAGTAATATAATATAAAGCATAGACTATAAGATTGTCTTCAATGAAGTACAGATCTAAATATACATAGAAACGTACAAAGGGCGGTATTATCGCTAGGGCAATATCTTACAGGTAACCTTTGGTTAAAGGAAAACAAATTAATCGATCTGTTAATACAAGTTCTTTGTTAACGAGTATAAAATGAGCCTAAATCAGTAACTAAATATAGTCTTTTTTTAATGGATGATAATAAAATGGTAACCCCGCCTGCGTTAACGGTATACACTGGCGGAGCACCAGTGAAGGGTGATAGGTGAGAATGAAAAGGCAGGTCAGCGCATCGCGATAAGTACACTTGGAATTCAGCCCGATGGTTTCCAGGGGGGACCACGTGGAGGTCGACCTGACAGGATATATTGTTAGCAATGGGACTAGTAGTTCGTATTACTAACAATCACCCCCCCCCCCCCCCCTATTAATTGTGTTGTGTTTTTGCAGATGATGACATGGTGGTTCACGACGTTCATGGCGCCGGCGATCAAGGCGAAGGTGCACACGCTGCCCGGCGTGGAGTACCTGTACTCGGTGATGGCGCGCGACCAGCTCGAGGTGCCCGCCTTCGTCACCGAGTACGACATGACGGTACGTACGCACACACGCACGCACGCACGCACGCACACACGCACACGCACTCACACACCTGCATTCATCATCGCACTCGATATAACAAACTATATAACTCATATGCACTCACTCATGATCATACGCATTCAGTTTCACTCTGATTCTCCTTCTCTTACGCCCATCTTTGTCATCTTGACAAAACTGACTCACTCGTAAATCCCACGCACTCAATGTACCTCACATGTCACCTCGGTCATCAGTGACCACGACATTATGACATGAGAGTATGTCCACTCACATGCGCTTATTCTCACTGTCTGTCCATTTTTTTAAATTAATCATGCAATTAGATTCTAATAATTTAAACTCTCAGTAAATAAGATGTTACAGCATGGTATGTATTAATATATTACTTTTATTTTTCAGATAAACGGCTTGCATTACTTCCAACCAGATACGAACAATACGTAAGGCGACGTGTGCCCTTGTTCGTAGCTTAGCCAGCGCTCTTGTTATAGGTACTACGTTCGATCGGCCTCGGTGTTGCCAGTCTGCCTTTAGAGAAACTACCAAAAATACATACAACATTGCTGTAATATTTTGTGTTCATAAAACTTTGGTATTTTTTTTTTTTTTATTACTCAAGACAGTGGCAACACAAATTCGAATTGAGCATTATTGAATCAATCGATTTGTTTTTAAAAGTGGCAACATCGAAGCGCAAATAGTATGCGGCCACTGTTATAGTTTAGGTGGGATTTTTAAATAATTTCTACATAACTTATATTACATACATAATTTATCATATCAAGTGTATGTGTGACACAGCAGCCATACACATATTAAAATGTGATTAGAAATTACTACCATTTGTGAAGTATATCTATACCATAAAGTAAATTAATATTGATATATTTTAATTTTGATGTTTAAATCTTTTTTTAAATATTTTTTACTTTTTTTATTACATATCATTTAAAAATCCCTATCGAAACGATTAAAGATTGTTGAAAGTATATCATGTAACTTAGTATTAGCGGTGCATTTTTATATTATTTAATTGTAACTCTATGTATAAGGATATATTATCGATCGATGTTTCTTACGTCTTTATCGTACTTACTGCAAACCCCCAACACTTCGTACTTTCTACTTCACATTTTTTTTTTATAAACGTTGTAGTTTTTAACTGGCAACATTGTAAGAAAAAAATAATATAAATATGTGCTATTTTGATCCTTTATACCCAACAGACAGATAACGCTGCCTTTACTTAATGCGTTTTTAATTTGTCAGTGTTATTAGGTATCCTGTGCAATAATTTGTCTTGTGATGCTACATTTTTAATAATTTCGAATTCTTTCCACACTAAATCAATCCTGCGACAGGGTATTTATTTAGCTAGCGCATAGACAAATAACGTTATTTTTTAAATGAAACGTATCGGTACCACGTGGAAATGTTAGTTTTGTAGAGATTTTATGTGGTTCCAATAGCAAACATGTAATTAGCGGTTGTAAAAGTGGAATGTTCACTATGGTTTTTAGAAAGGTGCTTGATAATTTTTCAATTGGTATTTTTATTTTTACATTAGACGTTTGAAATGTAGGCTTAAATGTATCGGTAAGTCGGATGTGTGAATACGCTGTGGATACGCTGTGGATATGTTGCATATTGTGGCAGTCGCCCTCACCGCGCACCACTGTCCACGTATGTAGTTGTTACAATTTACAAATTAAATAATGCCTCTCGTATTTTTAGATGAAGGTCATTTTCCTCGGGGTCATATTTGCGTCATACGATTGACTCTTAATTAACTATGATATAAAATTAATATATAGTATCAAGATTATTTATCTGTCTTATTATCTAATGTAATTGTTACACGTTAAATTAAACGCAAATATGGCCCTAACCATAAGCAACAAATTAACTATAACCTACCGTTGTGAGAAAGTTCAGTATTTTTCTACAATAAGAAACAATATTATATGCATGACACTGATCATGAAGTCCATAATGTAATATGGCCATGCGATGGCTAGTGACAAATGTCTAACAATTTGTTTGCACACGAAAAGCTTATAGTCAAGGATCGTTCTGTAAAAAAATGTGAACTAAAAACGTTTCGCGTGTCTTCCACCTCGGTTACATCTTGATCGGAGAATTTAAAATTACTGATACAATGAGATGGTATAATAAACAACGCAGCACTTAAAAATGTATAACTTAATATTACTTTGAAAATTTGAAAACTCTTCATCTATTTTAAAGTGTGAAATCTGTATTAATTTAAATTGCCTTAAGGCAATTTCCCATTTGGTTATAAGCTTTTTGAATATCTCAATAGTGTTGCCAAGTTTTCAAGTCAAATACCACTGCCACAGATGCTAAAATGTTATCGTGACTGTACTGTAACTTGCTAGTGCATGGGTGCCATTAAACAAACGCATTATGAATAACGAATAAAATGAGATTAGATTCATTGTTAAAAAGTCCCTTTTTGTATTTTCAAAGATCTAGTAGAGTTTTTTTTGGTCTATGCTGTGTAAGAAAATGTATGGTACAAACAACAGCCAATAAAACACTAAGTATATTTTTTCTACATTAAGCTACTGTTCCAATTAATTCAATAATGTAATAGTATAAGTAAATGCAATATGATTGTGTGAGTGTACAATTTGATAGTTAAATAAGGTCTGCCCCCCTCTAGACAAGCGGCAACCGAATCTATTTGTTACTATATGTACGAGATAGAATGAGATAGTAATATCAGGCATCTTGCTCTTTCTTATGGATATGGTAACAATAACATATCTACTAGTAAATTCTTTTGCTGCTTGCCTGGAGAGGCTGGTTTACATTACTAAAATACTCACTTCAAATGCTTTAGTGGTAAATGTTAGTTGAAAGCTAATTTTAACATGCTTCTACTGAAGCACTTGTTTGCAAGTGCTTTAGTAATGTAAACCAGACATAATACTGATGTTCTATTTGTAAGTTTCACCTTGATTCCGTTATCGTGAACTGTCTGTAATATCTATCAAAGCAATTTAGTAGTGTGTGAATTGTTTAAGTGTTGCTAAATTGTTAATGAACCTTGCCTCTGTGGTTAACATTTGCAAGGGATTGTGAAGTATATACCATTAAATTAGTAATGTTATATCTACATTTTCATTATAAATTGTCATGCACTAGTGTAATAATGAATTTATATATATCAACAAGGCCTTAGATGTGTTACTATTGTTACTTTTACCATCCTTGTGTTGCAAAGTTTATCGCTGTTGACGATTCGTGTTTATACTTTAGTCAGACAGATTGTCTGCATCACATAATTACATTGTAAGACGCTATAAATTTAGGAGTTATGTCAAAAAAATGTGATCAAGCAAAATGTTGGTTAAGTTTCATATTTTATTAAAATAGTGCGTTAAATAGGATATGTAAATATTTAACAAAATAAAATATAAAATTACTAATTTACTACACGATTGTTTTATTTTTCGCACATAAATATTTTTTTCTCTATGTGAAATTACTTTCACATGAGTACAGATTATATCATTATGAATACTGACACTCTGCCTAGTTAAAGGGTGGGATATGGCGTGAATTTACAGGGTACAGGGGAATAACATTTGAGTCCTCAGGAATAGCAACGCATAGGGGGTATCATGAGCGAAACAGTATACTCTGTTATGTCCATGGTACTGCTCATGTCTTTAGGCCGACGGTTACCACTTTCCATCAGGTGGGCCGTCAGCTTGTTTGCCATTCTAAGTTGTATAAAAAAAATTATACAAGATATGCTTATCTTGTATAATTGTAGAACAAAATTAGAAAAAAGCATATGTTTTTGGAAAACTAGTGAATCCTCTAATTTTTTTTTATACCACTGAGGTGACACGTGCAGACGGCCCACTTAATAGTAAGCGGTTACCGTAGCCTATGAACACCTGCAATACCAGGGGTATTACGCGCGCGTTGCCGACTGTTGTACTAAAAGTTGGAAACATAATAAGTACCACAGAGTCGTGTGAACTATAGGATTACTTTAGAGATCATAATTTTTTGTCTAATAAAATGGGTTCCATATTTTAATATACTTTTAGTATATATACATCTTAAATTATATAGTTTTTTTTGTTAATGGGTGATAATGGAATGGTAACCCCGCCTGCGGTATCGATATACGCTAGCAGGGCACCAGTGATAAATGATTGGTGAGGATGAAAGCAGGTCAGTTGGCCCATCATGAAGAGTTCAACAAGAATTAACCATGGTTTCCAGGGGGGAACCGCGTGGAGGTCGACCTAATGGATACCCCATTGCTAGCAATAGGGTTATTAGAACCCATTACTAACAATGAGTATAGTAGAGATATATATTTATGTAATATTTTATTATATATTTTAATATTTTATTTAACTGAATATTTGTTTATGTATTAACAGTTGTAGCACTTCAGCTGCCCGCTAGAATCTACTAAGTAAAGGTTGTGTGTGAGATTGTCATAGCGATACAACCTCTCTTTGAATCTTTATGTATATATTTTCATTTATACTTTATGCTACTGTATTTAAAGAGAATTTACTAATTTTCGTTTTTGGTGCAATAAAAAGTTAAATAAATATGTATTTATTTAACTTTTTTGCAATTATTTATTTAGTCAAAAGTATTCAAATTATTATCTACTAGCTTTTTACATTCTGCTTAGAAGATTAAAATTTAACATTAGAAGGATGAAGGGACACTAATAAAATAGTCTATTTCCAAATGGTGTATTAAGATAAAACATACACTAGATTTTAAAATGCACCTTCAGGAACAAAATTATAAAATTCGCATCCAATTAGACATAGAATTTTTACAAAATTTCTAACAAAATCATTGTTTTGGCATATCTTGATTTTATTAAAACCGCTCATATTAATCTTTCTTAAATATCTGCCATGTGGGAGGAAGGGATTGTCAATAATGTAGACAACCAGTCCCATTGCTAGCAATCTATTCTAACAGGTCAATCTTCAATATGGAACACCCTGGAAACTTCCAGGTGTATTCATCACGATAGGCTAAGTAACCTGCCTTTTTATTCTTGCCTATCATCCCTCAATGATGCTTTGCCAGTATACTGTTAGCACAGGTGAGGTTACCATTCCATTATCGTCCACTAAAAAAAATCTCCCATGTACAGACACCATCTAGTTGGAATTTTATTATATCATTAAGATAAATGACAGATTTGTATGAGTAACTTAGTTGTTTATTACAAAAATGTTACTTGAACCCGCTTTCGAGATGATAAAACTTTATGGAGGGAAAACAATCCTTAAAAACCTTTAATGAGAACTAAGTTATTTAATATATAATGAATTGACATGAATAGATACAAAAAGTGACAAAATATTATTCAAATGAAATTATTATTATAATGAAATTATTTTAATTTTTTGTTTAATAAGTTTTTATATTTGCACGCCTACAGTGTGGCAGAATAAGATTGGACTATTTTTCTTGTAAAGTAACATCTATAAAAATGTACCTTATTCCAGCAAATAAATGATTTCAATTACAATTTCAATAATATCTGTTAAGACTTTGAATACAAATTATAGAATATCATAAAGAAATACACACTAACAAGTGTTTAAACCTACATTGTTTAATGACTTATAATAACTCAAAAAAACTCATATAGCAAAGAACCTTTGCATCTTGTACTCTGTCCATTAAACCATAAGAAATTAAAATATTTCCTAATTATCTTCATATCCTTAAAATAATATTAAAAACAACATCGATATAAATAATACAATAACTTTATAACAAGTTATTTTCACAACAAACATTAATTAATTACAAATTCATTTAGCGCTGTGAAGATTATTCAAAAAATTTATAATAGAATTAATTGTTGGATATTTCTGTGCCGCAGATAACAGTATAACTTTAAATACTGTAAAAACATTTGACAGTAAGTATCCACTGATGGCTCCGAGGTAGCAGGGGACTGGCCACTGCTGCCACGGTGTATTCCAGTCCAATGGTATCACAACAGCTCCTAACCACGCGCCGCACACCGTCATTATGGAATTATTCACAAGCATCTCCGTAATAGTGTCTCTTCCATAGTTCTTTATGCCGAAAAGCAGTTGCATCGAGGCTTCGACACCGGAATGCGCGATCAAGGGGAACACAGCCAACAAGCTCATCAAACTCGATAGCATCAATGTCTCTTCATGACAGTCGAGTATTGGCGCTCCGAAGAGCATTATACCAATAAAGAAACAGAATAACGCCACAAGCAAGAAAACAAACGATTTCAGAATGTCACCAACTCGATTCTTGTTTGCTTTACTTCTCTTTGCTTGTATATCATTTGTGGCGTTCAAATAAAACGACTTAAGTAACTCAGCAAAAAATATGAGTACTAAAATGTAGAAAGATGAGCCGTTTCCCACTGAATACAGTAATCCTTTATAAGATATCACGGTGACTATACTTGGTAAATAAATGCATGTTAATAAACTAGATATTGTGACTTTTCTCAACTCTAACTGATTATTTAGCGAAAACATAGTAGAGTGATTATAAAAATGAGCACTGCATTAAGAGATCAAATCAAACAAAAAATATTATTATAATAGGTTATTATAGGAATTTGATTTAAAAAACATTTTTTTTTTGTTATTCGTCCCATATAGATTAACCTTTCAAATGACTGTCACTTACTGTCACTGTAATAATCTATCCGTCAAATTCAGTATGTCAATTGGATATCTATCATGTCAGCTGTTAGCACTTCTATAGTAACAAAGTATTTTACTACTTTAGTAATTTTTATTGCGATATAGCAGAAAAAATTTAGAAACACGAACATACTGTAAACAAAAAATGAGTTATGGGACGAAATTCCTGATAGCCATATCAAAATTATGTATGAAACCACTTCAACAAATTACAGATTTTTGCTTAAACCACCGACAATAAACACGAAATCCTTTAAACATAAGTATTAACCACTTATGACAAATTTGAAAATACACTGATCTTCTAGATCTGTGTATTTTAATGACTGGTAATTAATTAAATGAATCTGAATGACCAGAAGCCGTCTCGACTTCACCGCCGCCATGCAAGGTCTAGCACGAGCGAAATTCCAAATGTCTCATTCCATATTTTATGTCAATATAATCTTTCAGCAACGATACGCTCTGTTCTAGCGATTGCGTCATGGAGACGTCCATAACTTTCGGAGGTAACAACAGCTCATGTATCAGTGAACTAAGAAAAACGTTTTACTTTCCGATATTGCAAAACTTAGTGCAAATTTAAAGTAAGTTTTTGAAATATTTAATAAATTTAGCATTTTCATAAATATATCAAAATTTTCTTTCGGTTAGTCAAAAATCAAATTTTAGACTATGAATTTTCTCTCAACAGTATTCATTCTTCACAATTCAAAGTCAAGGCTATTCAGGATTTTTTTAAACTAAAAATCGTAGAGCAATTACATAGATTTTTAGGTATTGACAATTTTTACAGAGCACATAGGTACTTACCTATAGCTAGTACATATCACTCAATATTACTTAGTTATTTTAACAACTCGAAAAAGAAGAAAAAACTTTTATAATTTTTTTTTATGCAACATAAAATGACAAGCAAGCTGACAGCCCACCAGATAGAAAATGGTAACCGTCGCCTATAAATATGAGCAAAACCATAGACATAACAGAGTAGGTATACTGTTTAGCCCATGATACCCCCATGTGTTGCCGTTCCTGACGACTCAGGTGTTATACCTCTGTACCTTGTAAATTAAAATAAAATAAAAAAATAAAGTAATTGAGGCAATCGTACAAAGTAAACTAAATTTGTAAAACACTGTCACGTTGTCCGCGAATAGTAGGTATTGATCGCATTTAGGTATATCTGATGCATCTAACACATGTGTAGGCGCAATACTATAACAATATATAAGTAATGCACGGAACTCGTTAGATTATCTTTCACAGAAACTTTTTAATGCAAAATCTACGTACTGTACTTATGACAAAGAGCTACTGGCTATTTATCTAGAGATTTGACATTTTAAGGACATTATTGAGGAGCACCATATCTACACAGATCATAAATCCCTTAGTTTTGCTTTTAAGAAAACTAGATGTGAAAAAGAGAAGCCAGTACACATTTTTTTAATAATGAATATTAATTTTATCTTTTAATAATGAATATACTACGAATTTTCGCAATCGCTAGTTCAATCAATATGGTAGTAGATATCCCGTCACGTGTAAAGATAGTTAGTTGTCCTATTCTGTTGAATGTTGCTATATTCGCACAATGATAATATAACGATAAAAAGTTATGAAAATTATTACAAGAGAATAATAGTAATTTACAGCAAATTGTTATGCCTTTTTGTAGCAAGCCTATTTTCTGTGTTATTTCAAATAAGAAATTAAAACCGTAATTAACACAACAATTCCACAAAATCGTTTCCGAGTCATTATATGAACTAAGTCATCCTAGTAGATATTCAAGAAGGTAATTAATTACTGATAAACATTATTGGCAAAGATTTGTATTTCTTGAATGTGTGTATACACTATCGACGCTTAACGAGACGCGATTGCAATTAAATAGTACCTACAATCGCGTTGCGATAAGACCTTACAGTCTAATTAAAACTTAAAATAAATGTTTATGCAATGTGTATTTTATTTATTTATTTATTGGAACCATAAACGTTTACAGTTTATCTTAAGGAACGAAAAGAATTTTTAGTAGTAAAAAATTCAATTTTTAATTCAATTAAGACTAAATAAATCGTTCGTTAAATATAAACAAATATAATATAATATCACAGTAATGTTTACATCGTCATCATTTCAACCGAGTAATGTTTTAACAAACAGTAATTAATATATTCATAGAAATCCAGCATGATTATTCTATTTGACAACATCTTATTAAGCCACTTTAACAGCCTAACATAATGATTTGTTGTATTTTTTGCTCTACTTTTTCCTATACCTTTTTTTTTATAATAAGTGTAGTTATTGTGCTTTTGGTACCGCACTATACTTTTTGTTAACATTTTTGTATTTCTTTGTGCAAGTTTTTCTTTAAGTCTTTATTCAATTGTATTTATTTCTTTTGTTTGATTTATGAGTATCCATTAGTTTCGAAGTTAAAAGCTGCATAAAAATTGCACAAAACACCTCATGATTAGTAATAAATCATGAGGTGATTTGTACAATTTATGTACATTTATATTTTAATCTACAGATTTAATCATGTATTTGTTTTATAATAAATTATTAAATATTACAATATAAACATCCAAACGTTTTTACAAACACATTTATAATATTAAGTGCAACTTATAATAATTTATATAAAAATACTTTTAATTTTAATAATTAATAATTAGTGATGGCGGCTAGTTGCTAAATAATTCTATAAATTATGCTGAAAAATTAAGTATCAACAATAAAAATCTTTCAACGGTAGTAATTATGTGAATATATATGTGGCAACTCATTTAAAATTTGGGCAACCCTGAATCATGTTGCGAAATCTCAATAAATTCTGTGTGAAGTATATTCAAACGTAATCGATATGACGACACAAACTTTATAAATGAAAGGTACACTTGCTTACCTCGCCAGTTGAACCTCACGCCTGTTGAACGTTCGGCTACAGTGAGAGCCAACGTTCTCTAAAAACATCGAAAACAAGTTTGTGGATCTTGTGTCGCAAGTGTTTTGCCAAGTGTTGTCAAAGATTATATAAAAATGCCTTGTCCATTTTTGGGATCACTGAACCAAGCATTTACAAGGAATTATGGAGCTGCTCTCCTTAAACAGTACGGTAATTACTGCCCTGTCATCTCTCGAGGTTTCCGCTCTTTGGGTAATGACGAAACCAAATGTCCTTTCATTCAGAAAAATGCTATCGTATCGGAGGCACCCAAGGAGATGTCCGAAGATATCGTGGAAACCATCCCTCCGTACAAATATGAAAAGTTCTTCCATGACCAAATTAGCGCTAAAAAGAAGGATTACTCATATCGTGTATTCAGGAAGGTATCTCGATTAGCAGCTGATGGAATGTACCCCCAAGCCCTGGAAGGCACTGAGAACCGTCGTGTAACTGTATGGTGTGCCAATGACTATCTGGGGGCTTCCCGTCACCCTGTTGTTCAAGATGCTGCTGTAAACGCCATCAAGTCATATGGCACAGGTGCTGGTGGTACCCGTAACATTGCTGGCAACTCACAGATGACAGAGAAACTTGAAGATGAGATTGCTAAACTTCATAAAAAACCTGCAGCATTAATTTTCAGTTCATGCTTTGTGGCCAACGATGCAACTTTATCAACTTTAGCAAAACTTCTTCCTGGCTGCATCATTTATTCCGATGCAGGAAACCATGCATCAATGATACAAGGAATCCGTAACAGCAGAGCACCCAAACATATATTTAGACACAACGATCCGAATCATCTTAGACAATTACTGGCTGATTCACCTGCTGGAGTACCGAAGCTAGTCGTATTTGAGACTGTCCACTCCATGAGTGGAGCTATTTGTCCGTTAGAAGAAATGTGTGACATAGCACATGAGTATGGAGCTTTAACATTTGTTGATGAGGTACATGCAGTTGGCTTATATGGAAAACATGGTGCTGGCATTGCTGAGGAGAGAGGAATCCAAGATAAAATTGATATAGTATCGGGTACATTGGGTAAAGCTTATGGCAATGTCGGAGGTTACATTGCAAGTTCCTCACTACTTGTGGATACAATAAGATCCTATGCACCTGGTTTCATTTTTACAACTGCACTGCCACCTCCTGTTTTGGCAGGCTCTTTAGCAGCCATTAGACTCCTAGCAAGTGAAGAGGGAAGAAGTCTGAGAGCAAAACACCAATCGAATGTTAGATATTTGAAGCTTTCCTTACTAGTGGCAGGACTTCCACAATTGCCGTCTGTCAGTCATATTGTTCCCGTTCCTATAGTGGGCGCGGACAAAGTGGCTCTCGTAGCGGAGTCTCTTATGAAGAGAGGGCATTATGTGCAAGCTATAAACTACCCGACGGTCGCTCGCGGGGAAGAGCGACTGAGGTTTGCACCGGGCCCGTTCCATACTCCAGAAATGATTGACAGTCTTATCACTGCCTTGATAGATGCATTCCATGAAAACAATATAGTGTTTAATGAGTTTATGAAAAACGGCACCTGTCGTGAATGCAGCATGGAATACAAGGTCGAGATTGGCCAAGACGAGCTGTACAAGTTCCCAATGCAAGTTGCGTAAATGAATAACATCCTAACCGACGGCCATGACAATTATTATATAAGCATATTGTCGCAATATGAAAAATAAAAAAAAAAAAAAATAGTTAATCGATGTTATATAGTTTATTTGAGTTTTATTTATGGTTCGTGGTTCATGTTTAGGAGAAATTAAAAAGATGGCAATTGATTTAATTCTTTTATTTAGTCCCAGTACTTGATTACGCCATCCCAGCCCGCTGTGAGCAGTTTGCTGGGCTCGTGTGGGTGCCACAAGGCTGAGATGCATACACCGTCGTGGGCTTTCCATTTTTTGTACAGTTTCGTTGTTTTCCAGTCCCAGATATAGCATTTTCCGTCTGCATCGCCAGATACAAGATAGCTGTAACAATATTATATTTTTTGATTAAGATAAACACAACAGATAAATAACAAGTACTTATTTAAACTGATTGAACGTGAGATAATACATTTGTTTGTTTTCGATTTATAAATAGGGCGAACCGTAATGTAGGTATTCACCCACAAGGAACATTTATAAGTGAGAATGTACGGTCATATGAGCGTTTGTCAAAGGTTCGATTAAGTATTATAATTAAAAAAATATTCTATGAAAAACTATTCAGTGACATGTCGACGTACTAAGTTATAATTGCTAGCAAGAGGGCTGTTAGAACCCTTTACTAACAATTCCTTTACCCCACTCTTTACCGTCAGGTACACTTGTATAGGTGCACAACAAAAACAACAGCGTAAAAAAACCAACTTCAATTATGACAAAATCAGTTATCTTGATTTAAAAACTAAACAACTGGATCGACTTTAAATTTCTATTGGGACAATCTTTAAGATAAAAAAAATCCCAATACAAACTGTATTGGGATTACTGACAGTACTGACGGAGTTATGAGGTGAGAGACATAAAAAAATACGACCGAATTGAGAAAATACTTTTTTTGAAGTCGATTAAAAATTAAGAAATATTGGCGTCTTTCGAATTCTTATTGATATTGAATTAATATTCATTTTGATAGTCACTCTGTGTTTTTGTCTAAATTAAAAAGTTGATGTACCTCGCCATTATGTTTTGTTTGTATTTTTAATTTAATTCAAGTAATTTGAATTGTTGGGTATCATAAGGTGAATGTAAATTATTGTTTTTATTAATTTGATGCCATTTAATTCTATTGTAATAATTTAATTCTATTTTAATATTTTTTGAACACGAAGCACACTGTGGTTGCCTTTAAATGTAAGAACAGTAAGCCATAATCCGCTAGTGTAATGTATCGAAATGTTTCGCTGTATCTTATGTTGGTAATCCTAAATAAATAAATTCTAATTCAATGGACGGACAAATTGATGTTACAGTACAGCTAGGTAGGTAAGTGCCTTCAGCCTAACAATTGTCCAGTCACGATTATCACTGCCGTGTTCGGACCAGTATTGTTACTGGCCTGGGTCACAATGGCTAATATAAATTTAATTTTGGACCTGGATAATCGATGTAGCAAACGTTCTAAACAGTTTCAATGAAAAATATAAATATAAATGCATAAAAAATATAAAATAAGCATAAATGTTTGCTTTAATATCTTTTCCCTTCTTTGCATGATTTGTTTTTATTGATGAAATAAATCAAAGTGATATAATTCATGTTTAAAATTAAAGGAGAAATGGTTAAAAAAATAAATTTTACAACTACGTTTTTTTTTTCTGCAATGGACATTAAGAAGGTATCCAGACACGATCAACTTAAAGTGAACTTAGTCTTTTATACAAGTTTTAGGCATTCAATGTTATGATGGAAATTTCCACCAAAGTAAATAAGCAATTCCATGCAAAGAAGGGTTAAATTATATTTAGCAGTGGACAGTTAACGACTTTATTTACATTTATTTGGATTTGGTTATAGTTTTTTACTTATTTATTTTTTTATTTGTTTGTACAGTGTATTGAGTCTCCCATCTAAGAATGGGTATTGGCTACCAGCACGCATGCTAAAGTTAAATGAGTTAAGGGGCGGCCTGAAAATCAGCGCTATATAGGTACATCTCACTGGAGGTGTGCATATATAGCAATAACTGAGGCGGCTCCTATTACCAGCAAAATGAGTTTATTTATTTTTTTATTGTAGTTTTTTACCTGTTATTATTATTGTTGGTAAAAAAGACTATCTATTTATCTAAATTCGCGGATGTAATTGTTTTTTACTATTCCATAAACGATGGGAATATAGGTCACAAGGGCAAAAGAATATAAACAGTAAATACGTAAACTATAGCATGAATTAATTTTTTTTTATACCTCAAAGTTGGCAAACAAGCATACAATCCGTCTGATGGTAAACGGTCACTGTAGCCTATGGACGCCTGTAACACTAGGGGTGTCACGTGCACGTTGCCGACCCTGAAGAAACTTTAATACACCCTTTTGAAGAAAATCAGGGCTGACAAGACATGCGTCTAATATTGCGATACTGCAAGCGTGTATTGAACTGTTTACCATCAGACAAGCCGTATGCTTGTTTGTTAATGTTGTGACATAAGAACAATTAATCTAAGGTTCACCTCGACTCTTAAATACAATATTAATAGATGGCACTTTAGTCCCGTCAATCGGGCAACGATAGCTGTTTCATAGCAGAAAAAGATTTGCGCTATTTCAGACCATTCTCTTAGAATTTAACAATGGAACGTTAACTTGGTACTTAAAATAATGCCATGATAATTAAAATCAACACGTACACAGCAAATAATGGTTAACTACAACAAGAAGTTGTTATTACTATCAGTTCAGTGTTCAATAAATCATTGACGATTGCATCCTGCGCTTTGAAGGTTTACCTTCAAACGACTCTCAAGAGAGATCTAAATAAATGATCAATTGGCAAGATCCGGCTTTGAATTGAGGTTAGATATACACCTGTGTAAATAAGTAGTTGGTTATTTCAATAAAAAAAAAAAACATATATGAGAGAATATATTAATAATAATTTTTATTTTTCCACCACAACCATATTATACATTAATCGGCAACAATAATATAAAACTACACACAGTTGTGGGAGACTGGCGTCTAAATTGGGCAGCGAGATGCCTGTGTCTTAGATCACCAGGACCTCCCTCCTTAGTAATAAACATCAATAATATATTATTAACTGCCATCATGATAAGGAACAAAAATTAAATACAAAAAATACAAAATATGATTGGCGGCAAATAGTAAAACTAATTAAGCTACCCCAAATAATGTGGCAATTAGTGTTTGGAGAGCATTAGATGATGCTACTCGTAATACTAGGAAATATTTTAAATAAGTACTTTATATTATTCTCAATTTCGTGGATAATATAGTATATGTTATATTACCAGAGGGAGACTTTGTACAAAAACCATTTGCTTTGGCACCTCTGTCCCATTCGTGTTTCAACCGTGAAGCAGTTGTGTTTGCATGGCTGTGTTTCGGTTTGAAGGGTGGGATATGGTGTGAATTTACTGTATACAGAGGTATAACACCTGAGTCCTCAGGGTCTAATGAGATTGGAATGGAAAATGTAATGCGAAGGTTGTTCGTTAAATATGCCAAGGATAAGAAATATATTTTACGTCAAGCTTAATGACGACGGTACAGATGAAAACATAATAAGTACGATAGTACGCTATAGACAACACATCTGTGACGTACCTCCGTCGGAAATTTACTTGACCGAGAAACTGAGAATGCGGTCCCTAGCTTATAATACCTATAAGACGATTTAATTATCTACATCTACACTAATATTATAAAGAGGAAAGATTTGTATTTTTGTGTGTATATATGTTTGTAATGAATTAACTCAAAAACAACTTTGTCGATTTCAAAAATTCTTTCACCATTAGAAAGCTACATTTACCCTGAGTAACATAGGCTATGTTTATTGCTAGAAAAGATTAGGGATCCTTACTAAACTAAATCAACTAAATAAATAACTAAATCCTTACTTTAGTAAAATTTTTTTACACCTTGAATTAAGGTGTAAAAAAATGCTATAAAATATCTTTCGTCGCGTGCGTTGCGGAAACTATTGGTGATAGAACAAAAGTATGTTCTACAATATTGAAGAAAATATCAATAACTACAAAAAACTTCGCGATACTATATGTCCAACTATTATCGTTATGTCACAATAACCACTTTTTAAAGTGTTGTAAAAATGTCCACCCGTGCGAAGCCGGGTCAGGCCGCTAGTAAGAAATATAATAATATTATATTTTTAATATAATTAACAATAATAATTTATTTATACTTTATTGTAATATAATAATAATTTTTAATATAATATTATTTTCTATGCTTGGGATACTTATTTACGATATTGGCATGTCTTTCGAAGTAGGTAATTTAAAAATAATATAGAAAAAAAAAAGAAATAAGTTATAATACAAAACAGTCAATATACAAAATAAGATATTTGGATTATGCAATGTTATTTCTTGTTCATGTAACCTGGTCGAAACGTCGAGATAACCTTAATTAAATATTTATTTATTTGTTAAGGAAAACAAATGGCACAAGCTTGTATTTACCTATAAGTACATTATTAATAAAATATTTATATGAATTTTTATTTTCTTGTTTCTTTTTCTAATTTTTTTTTTTGTAATTCTTAATAGGTTTTTTTATAGGTGACCATGGAATGGCAACCCTGTTAACGCTATTGGTATACGCTGGCGGTTCACTAGTGAGAAATAATACATAAGTAAGAGGATGGAAACAAATCAGATAGTCCATCGTGACGAATTCAATAAGAATCAACCACCATGGGTTCCAGAGGGAACCGCGTGGAGGTCGACCTGATACGGTATAGTGCTAGCAATGGCGCTGCCATATCTCTATTACTAACAATCCTGAATAAATTTTTATTAGGCACTATTACGACACTCTTAACACGTTAACAATATACTCTAAATAAGCGTTTACAATTATTCATCGGCCTCGAGGTGTTAAATATAACTCCATTACGCGACCAAAGGTTACCACTACGGAGAACGTGTTTTAGTCACAGTTCGCGTTACAATGTGGACAAAAACACATATATAACATTTGCACAGACGTTCTTGTAATTACCAATCATTTTAAAGGTAGGCAAAAAATATGGATTTAAATATGGACAACACTCTCAGGGTTGCCAGTACCGAATTTTTATTTTTATCTAGAAGTCAAATATTTTTTCCCCAAATCAAAAAGTCGGGCCAATTTGTCCATCATGGCAAATTTCCTTGGAATTGAATACGATGGTGTCCAAGGGGACCTTCGTAGAGGCTGGCCTGATACTACTGATACTGATAGATTACTAACAATAAGGTCTAATCGCCTCATTATAAACATGTATACAATTAA